GAGATAGGCTTGATGTGATGATATAGTATATAGTTGTCTTTTTGGTGATCAATGGTATCTCTAAAGCCCTCCTCCAACACAAAATTTCCAAATGAATTTTTCATCCTGTAAACTTTCTTCACTGTGCAGCTTTCACATCTGCACATAGTGATCAGGAATACCATACTATAGATTACTTTCACCTTGGACCCCACTGATACATCCTTACATTTCAGGATCTTTCTATTTCCTTCATATATGCCCTTCCAAGTCTCAGTCTCCTCCTGATTTCTTGGCCATTTGGTTTGAGGACTGAATACAGAATCATTAACTATTTCAATTTCATTGACTCTAGAATTATTATTTTTAGAATGGGCATTGTCAACACTAAAATTATGTAGGTCTTCAATATGTTTATTTATTTTATTTTATTAGATTTATACCCTGCCCATCTAGACCAAAGGTATACTCTGGGCGGCAATGACTGTAATCATGACTTTTTCCCTTTAATGTTCAGATGTTATCCTGCTGTTGAACTTTCTTCTTTCAGCCATCTAGACCAAAGGTATACTCTGGGCGTCAATGACTGTAGTCATGACTTTTTCCCTTTAATGTTCAGATATTATCCTGCTGTTGAACTTTCTTCTTTCACCTTCATCAGGGGTCACTGTTGTTCTCTGCCACTAATATGATGGTCTCTGTGTATTATATGTACTGTATATGTTGAAGCGAAGGTGAGTGATGATTACTGATGAATAGAAGAGATGTCTCAATGGGAGACAGAGGGGAAACAAGGAAAAAAATGTGAAGCATGGATGTTGGATCAAATGTGAAGAACAGATAGAGGTAGAAAAATAAGGATTCAAAAATAGGGATAAAAATGAAGAGAAAAGCTGTTAGCACCAGGAAAACTGAAAGAGGAGACAAAGCAGATGCCTCTCAATAAAGAGATTGGAAATCAACAACTTATCTTGGTGTTTGGGACTTTGATGCTCAGAAACCCTAGTCAAGGCCGGTGTTAAAAGGAACATGGGAAATGCTGCTGAAAATATCTCAAGGGATTGAACTTGATCTATTATGGAATAAGAGATAAGGAATCCTTAGGAGAAAGATAAAGACAAAGAGGTTCCCTTAGGTGTAGTATGGAAAGGTATTGTATACTGATAAATTAAATCAGATGTATTTCTTATGACGTTTACATTTAAAGATCAATCATTCATAGGGTTGTCATACTCATTCATAGGGTTGCCATAAGTCAGAGGCAAGCTGATGGCACACAACAATAACATCAAATACGTTTTTTCAACCTATTTCATTAGAAGCGAGAATATAGAAAACTGTATGATGTGTGTTCTTAAAGCCAAAATTTAAGTTTGTTTCTTGAGGCCACTCCAGATCATCTCTTTTTTTAACTTCTCTTCCATGTCTGTGAGGCCATTTTTGATATTTATTTTGTCAACATATTCCACATGATCATTTCAGATCTTTCATTGCATTTGTTGAAATGCTTGCTTTTTACTGAGTTACATAACATTGCCTTGTTAATGTTCATTTTAATATCTTCATTTCTTACTTCATTTACTTTATTGGGTAACCTAGCATCCAAATTGTCAGCTAGTATCACTGTTATCATTGCATATCAGTTGTTGGTAACATCTCCACTGACAATTACACTGTAATTTGAATCAGCAAACTATTCTCTAAAGATGTTCTCAGAATCCAAGTTGAAAAGCAGTGGCGAGAATATGCGTCTTTGTCATGCTTGTTTTTGTGTTTTTATTTACACTGCCCTCAGATTTTAAATTTTCTTTTTAGTTTTTTGTTAGGACAGGTTGCCAATTATATGAATATCTCCTGAATCAATATGATTATGTGCCAACAGTTTCATCAACTTACCATGTTGAATTTTATTAAAGGCATTATTGTAGTCAATAAAGCAAGCATACATATCAATGTTAAGTTACGTCTCCTGTCCTCTGAATTCAAATTATGTACTGTATCTACTGCTCTTGCTTTGAATTTCTTGTAAATTCTCCCATGAGTTAGTTTTAAGAAAATCTTAAGCAAATAACTTATTAAACTTATCACTCTTATGGCGAGATTTGGCATTTTCCTTTTGGGGTAATATAACAAAAATCTATCTCACAAAAATTTCAAGAAGGATTCCTATTCTGTAGATTTGATGGAAAAGATTTACTATAAACATCTAAGTTGTCGTCTTTTTCTGTATTTATACTTCTGTGAAACACTTTTAATTTCAGGAATGTTGTTATGTTTTCATTAGGTTTAGACATTTTGGATCTGAAATTTTTGTATGGTCATTCCAATATTATCATTAATTTCCTTTGCAAGCGAAGCAATACATAAGATACTGCAGTAAGAAGTTTTACTATACAGAGTGGGAAATTACAGAAGTTCTGGCTAAATTCAGAAAAAAAAGAGGCATTAGAACTCATAGAAAAATTATACTGTGTCTACTGGGTATACCAAAGAATTTCAGAAGAAAATCTATGAGAGGAAAAGATTGTGTAGGTTGTGAAAATCAATGTATTGTTGTGAAAGACCAATTGGTGTGCCACAATATTTTATTGTCTTGATGCATAATATACTCTGGACAAGAGGCTGTTGGGATAGAATATGGAAAAACAGAATTACTTCCATTTGACAATGGAATCAGAGGAGGCTGCATTTCATCTACCTATCTATTTCTATGCAGAGTATCTCATATGAAATATTATTTGATTGTCAGTTAAAATGCAAACAAGTGCTAAGAAATCAGAAGATGACTAAGACTAGGAAGGGCAGCTATTAAGAACTAAAAAAATGCAAATTTAAGGAAATGTCACTGGAAACCAAGGCAAAATATAATCCATACTATGGCATAACCAGTTCCTACATAAAGATGTGTAACATGTCGAACACTTTCAATTCATATGAAATTCAATTCAATTCATAAGAGCCTCGTGGCGCAGTGGTTAAAACGCTGTACTGCAGCTAAAACTGTGCTCACGACCTGGGGTTCAAATCCCAGGTAGCCGGCTCAAGGTTGACTCAGCCTTCTATCCTTCCGAGGTCAGTAAAATGAGTACCCAGCTTGCTGGGGGGGCAATGTGTAGCCTGTATAATGAAATTGTAAACCGCCCGGAGAGTGCTTGTAGCGCTATGGGGCGGTATATAAGTCCCAAAAAATTTAATAAAAAAAATATGGGGCATATATACTGGTGAGCCTTGAAAACAGTTTCACAGAATAAGTGTCTATTTGCATTTATATAACAGACAACATGAGCAATTATAACAACAGAATGTTACAGTTTGTGCACCCAAGTCTTTGACCACAGCACCAAGACAGAAGTTATGTGTAGATCTTCAGTGTGTCCCTTTGAACTCAAATTCAAATAAAAATCCAAGACATCTTCCTCAATTAGGTTAGGTGTCTTTATACCTGGAATAATCAGCTCCACATGTAGAATCTTCAGTTCCCTAAAATATCAGTTCAACTGTATTGAATTCATGAACTATGTGAATTCACCCCTCAAAACAAACATATAGGAATTATACTAAACAAGGTTGGCAAGGGTCTCAGCAGTCTTGAGTGGCAACAGCAGCTCCAATTTCTTCAGCTCTCCCACTCTTTCTGATTCTAATTTCTTACTCATATCCCTGTTCTTTTTTAGTCCCACCTATTTAGGCTGAACCAATATTTCACAGGGGTTACATATGCACTCATTATGATTTTTCCCTTTACATAAAATATCAGAGCTCTAGTTCTGAAGTTCACAGAAATACGCTTGAGCTCTCTAACAGAGAATTTTCTCCTGAATTATGTCTGCCAATTAAAAATAGCACTTTCTGCAACTAATGGGAATCTCTAGTCCACATAAACCTATGCCACAATAGTCCTTAGGATTCTAATAGACTGTGTTGGTTTAAGATACAGGCTGAAAATCTTGTTGCCATAAGGAAAATCATCCTGGCTGTGATGATTGTTGACAATTCCAGACTTCTTCCTCCCACCCTACAGCCCCCAATAGTTTTGTGACATTGAAAATAATTGTACAGGAGCCTGAGGATCTTCAGGGGAGAAATTGGAAATGTTTAATTTCTGAAAAATTGCCACTGATAATGATATAATCAGTTTTACTCAGCATTATTTAGGCAACAGGATTTCAGCCATATAAATATTTTACCAGAGCTTGGCAAAATTATATTTCTCAACTACAATTGCTAGTGGCCACACTGAGAGATTCTCTGAGTTGTTACTAAGAAACTTACTTTTCCATTTTCTAAGCCTGTCTCTCTTCTAAAATGAAAATATATCTGAAACTGTTGAGATATTAAATATTTATGTGCATTGTTTTCTTCCCAGTTTTCATTCATTTGCTCACATGCATACAGGATAAAAATATTCTGAAGCTATTGGCTTGTCTCCCTTCTTTGCCAAAAGTACAAGCTGGCTTTCTGTCTAAAGGGGCAGGGCTGGCTGTGTTAACAGTCTTAAAAAGTTGTTATGGCAACTTGAGTGCTGCTGTTAGATTTATTTACTAAAAGTCTAAAGATTGACATAAGCTGTAAAATAAATATCATACACATTGCTGTTCTAATTCGCTGTGGTTTTTGAGAAGTGCCTGTTGAGCAAACACAACAGGTATGATTAGCGCCAAACATGCATGCACATGATGAGAAGCTTGTTCACACTTGCCTTGATCAATTCATGATTTGCTGCTTTAATTACCTTTGTGAGCTGGAGAAGGGAATGCTTCCCTATTCAACTCTGCCTGGGAAACAAATTCCATCTCTTGTTTCTCAGATGTCTCTGCTGACTGCTTAATACAGGATCTACCAGGCTGCTTCTTGCTTCTGAAGACAAATATGTCTAGTTAACTTGCCCATTTGCAGTGGTCTCACAACTGGTTTCCTTTCGGCTTCCAGTGTAGACATAAAATCTGCATAACAGATCACCTGACAGAGCAGGAAAACATTTAAGGAGTTTTTAGCAGCTTTTTTTCTTTGAAAATGAGGATTTTTGTTGCTTTTGAAGGACTTTGTGAACCTTTTGACATTTCATCAGAAGACACTGTGAGAGATGTAAAGTTGAGGATAAAGGTAAGATCTTACCCATTAGCCAAATTGGTTGTCTATATTGTCCTGATCTTACTGAAAGTCAGTGAGTATTTATAGAGAAATATTTTATGGTCATATATGCTGTGGCTTTTCGTTTAAATTGTAAACAAGAATTTTAATTGTTTTAACTATTTTATTCATTGGTTTAATTGCAAAATATCTAATTTATGTTGCATTTTGTTGCATTTTAGCAGTTTAATATTTGTTTTAAAAATGCATTGTGAGCTGTTTTGGGCCCCTTTGTTAAGAGAAAAGGAAGGAAGGAAGGAAGGAAGGAAGGAAGGAAGGAAGGCTGATTGGAAGCATACAAGTGTGCCCAATACTAACTGGTCCATTGCAATTTTTGGCTAAGTGCAGACGTTATTATTCCCAAAGACAGTGGACTGCTTCATTTTCACAGCATGCTTAGACTAGTTTCAAGTTCAGGAGATACCGTGAACTTCATTTGACTTACATATTTATCCCTCACATACAAATCTTTTTACATTCAGCCATCTTACATATACTGCATCACCACAGAAACACCAGTTCTCCATATATCTGTATGTAGTACACACAAGTGCCATGAGGTTTGTGAGATTAGTTTTGTAAACATAACACCGGTCTATTAAGTTTAGCTATACCACCTAGACTTGGTGCTGGCCATCTAAAGGCTTTTGTTATTACCTGTTCCACTAACACAAGTGAGTCTTATTCCTGCTAGGCAAGAGTCATTATCCAACATATCCAACTTTACCACACCCAATCCTGTGTTGGTAACTTGACCATGTTTGGCAGTTATTGTTTGAAAGAATGACGTTCTAAACTTTGAGACTTATCTAGTTCATTATTGCCTAAACCAGTAGTGGGCAATATATGGCCATTCAGAAGTTGTTGAACTGCAAACCCCGTCAGGCCTAGCCAGCACTGGCAATAGTTATGGTTGATGGAAGATGCAATTCAGCAACATTTGGTTGTTGAACCAAACATTAGTCTCTCCATTCAAAACACGGGCATATTGATGCACCTTCAGTTCCACCCCAAGAAAATAATACAACACAATCTCACTTACAACTCCACTAGCTACATGGTACTGTATGTTATTTCTGGTGTAAAAAAGATTGATTAAATGTGGCCCTTGATGGTGTTCACATCTGTCCATCATTAAATAATCTTTACTGATCTGATCTGCACTTGGAGAAAGGAAGTCTCTTTGCCAGAATCAGAACAAAGCATCTACTACTACTACCTCATGCATACTGTGCAGTCATCTTCCAAACATCACACACCCAACACACAAAGCAGATGGAGGAGGCAGTAGTCATACATTCTCTGCTGGAGGATGAGGAATGAATGGATCTATTATTCTCACTGTGGACAGAGTACAGGACTTCCTAGGCTGGGTTAAGCAGATGGCCCTCTCCAACTGATCTGTTGCCTGAATTTCATTCCTGAGAGATGAAGCTTCAAGATTTTTTTTTCTCTCTTTGAGACTTTTCTTGCTCATTGAAACATAGATATACATAGACATCTATACTGGGGAGTGGAAGGAGACTATCTTTACAGAACTATTTGAGATAACAGAATGAACGTTTCTAGTCACGGTATAAATAACAAAGCAAATAGTCAACAGCAGGATTAAAACTTGGACTCACTCTAAAAGGCAGACCAAAATCTCCAGTTCTGCTGGGATCTCAAAACCACACCTTTCACAAAGAGAGGAGACTGCTATTTACAATTGTCTCTTAAAGAGTCAGACCCACAGACTACTGGATTATGGAGAAAGCCAGAGAGTTCCAGAAAAACATCTACTTCTGCTTCATTGACTCCGCAAAAGCCTTTGACTGTGTGGACCACAGCAAATTATGGCAAGTTCTTAAAGAAATGGAAGTGCCTGAGCACCTTATCCATCTCCTGAGAAACCTATATGTGGGACAAGAAGCAACAGTCAGAACTGGATATGGAACAAATGCACTGCTGAATACGCATGACAGGGTGACCATTATAGTCTTAAACTATGAATGCCTAGAGATCATATAATCCATTCTATCAATGCTTATTTACTACTGTTTCTTATATAATCTGTTTTCTTGCCCCCTTTAGGATTATTTTCATGTTCCTCTCTCTGAAGACAAGAAAGGGAGAAGATATTTAGAACTGATGTATGCTGGAGCAGTGTTAAAGGACAGCTGGATAGTTGCAGATGTCGGCATCTCAGTTTCTTCCACAATTAAATGTGTTGTTAAGGTACATCATGATTTCAGAAAATACCGGTATGCCCAATTAGCATAGAAATTCTCTGTCCATTCTGTTCTCCTCTCTAAATTATAGGTCTTGTGCAAGCAACAATTAGTAGTAGTCCAAAGCCATCTGAGGCCCTGGTCACACAAGGGAAATGTTTTCTAGTTCTTCCAATACTTTCCATATCTCTGTTGTACTGAATCATGATCACATGGTCTATATCCCTGGACGAACGTCCCAAGAACTTTTAGCAATACCGATTAATTTCGTTATTTGAATAATTATGGCCAGCTACACGATGGTACCAGTTTATTTTCCTTCTTGCTTCAAGGGGCAATTTACATCAATACATTAGTACATCAGAAACAATTCTCCCACTTAACTCTGCCCCCCTCTGCACAACTTCACCGTGCATTGGCAGTTATCATTTCCAGCCCCATTAGTTCCTGTTGCAACAGAACCCTATGGTTGGGGTGTGGACTTGCACACGGGAGTGGAAGTTAGAGGCAACATTGATCAGGAAGGGGTTTCTGTTTAGGAAAGTGTCCCTCTGTTGCCCTATCTGTTCCTGCAGAAACGCATTGCAAACAATGGACTTGGGAGATCCACGCAGCAGTACTGGCAATCCCCCCATGACACTGGTATACCAGCGTTTCAATATATCTTCCCCATATGAAATAAAACAATTATTTCTCACCAGTGATGTAATGGCAGCACCCCCAGTGACATACCTTTACCAACATACTGACGTACTGGGCATGAAATTTAAAAACAACAACAATGTGCATGCTGCAGTAAAGGCAACCGCCTTTCCACCCCCAGTGACATACCTTTACCAACATACCGATGTACTGGGCATGAAATTTAAAAACAAGAACAATGTGCATGCTGCGGTAAAGGCAACCGCCTTCCCGGCTTCGATTCTGAAAAGAAGCAGGGCAGGTCGTGCACACAGGAAATCCTGGTAACGAATGCACTGAGACAACAAAGTACAAAATAACACAACCCTCCTGGCAATGGGGAAATGTTCCGCAGTTACACTGCTAGCCGAGAAAATGTATCTGTCTTGATTCTATGTCGTGTGACCAGAAAAGAAAATACTGACATAACTGGTGGATAGCTACAGTACATAACATTTCCCTCATGTGACTAGGGGAAATACTGACATAACTGGTGGATAGCTACATAACATTTCCCTCATGTGACTAGGGTGTAACATTCAAACAAAGCATAATAACCTTCAAATAGTGACAGCAGGAAGGCAATGAGAATTGACCAATTAACATGGTGATAAATATAAAAATGAATCACAATATTCAACAAATGTCACTGATTCATCAGATATTCGTTGCTTCATATTCTTGAGGTCCTAAAAACTCCAAAAAAAAACACCATTCCTATATATGACACCTGTGACAGAAGGCCAAACTATACATTACAGATAACACATGATGAAAATCTGAAAACCTGTTAGTGCTTCTGAGACATGATTCTGCTGCCCCTGAGTGTCTGAGCAAATATACAGTGGCGCCTCGCTAGACAGTTACCCCGCAAGACAGTTTTTCGCTAGACACTGACTTTTTGCAATCGCTATAGCGATTCGCAAATCAGTGATTCCTTTTGGAGAATTTCGCAAACCGATTTTCACTGGACAGCAATTTTGACAGCTACCTCCACACTCGCAAAACGGGTGTTTTCGGGATGTAAGCTTTGCAAGACAGCTATTTAAACAGCTGATCAGTGGTTCGCAAAGTGGCTTTCCTATGGCTGATCTTTGCTAGACAACGACGATTCTTCCCCATTGGGACACATTAAATAGGTTTCAATGAATTCCAATGGGGAAATGCTTTTTGCTAGACAATGATTTCGCTAAACAGTGATTTCAGTGGAACGGATTATCATCGTCTAGCGAGGCACCATTGTACTTGTAAACAAAGCCTCTGCTTATTTTTGCAACTCAAAGCAAGCAAATATGCAACTTACAGGAGATGTGAAAAGCTTTTTCAGTGATAATCAGACATTTTTCAACACTTAAGTTTTCTCATGTTCTAATGACTATCTGTAATGTATATTGTTAGCCAGAGGCTTCATGTTCTATCGTATGCTTCATGTTGCTTTAGTTTTGCTAGCCTCCACAGTCGTGGCTTGCCATGGTTAGCAGAAATCTAAACAGGCAAGGCAGAGGAAGAAGGTGAGACTGGTGGATGAAGGGCTGGCTCCAGGTTTGATGAAATCCTATCAAAGTTCAATGCGATTCCCTCTTTGTAGAATCAGATGGTCACTTTTGTTAGCAGCAGGAATAGCTCTCTAGATCAGTCCCAGACAGCTAAGAGGGCACCAGGGTGGGGAGGGTTGGCACTGATCTTTGGTGGTTGGAGAAAGGAAACCTCAGCTCATATTGCTCTTCAGTGGTAAACCTTATTTGGGAGGAGAAGGACATGATTCAGCATTCAAACCACAGTAGATGATGGAGAATGCCTCTCTCTGAAACCCTGGAGTGTCCATGTGAGTCAAATTAGCAATACAGATCTGGTTAGCCTTAGGAAAGTCAAAATCCTTCAGGAAAGTCAAAATCATACTGCCGTCTTCAGGATGAAATGGGATAATGCCGTGCTTTGATATCCTTATTAGATTAACCAAATAACTACGTATTATTTTTCCTGTGCATTTGATGGTTAAGAAAAATTAAAAGTTGCATTTTATTTTCATATCACATCCACATCATGCAGTGTTGAATATTTATAGACAAAATACAGGAGAAGAACATTTTCAACAGGGTCACAATCAGGATTGCGCAATACTTTTCTTGAACCTTGTAAGTATCTTTAGGAAGCTAGCAAAACTCTGCTTTTTAGAACACCTTAGTGGTCCAGAAAAAATATTGCCCAATCCTGATTTTAGATTTTGCTCATGGATTACATAGCTGTTTCCTTTACAAAAAATGGCACATATTATTTCACACTTCCTAAATCCTTAGCCAAAATTATTGTTACCTGCATATCGTTACCAGGGCCATGATGAAAACAAAACAAAAAGGAACATTGAAACTAAAGTTACTGTTCTCTGTCCAGTCTTTTTGTTTCTGAGTATTGAATGATCACAGTATTGAGCTGGAAAAGAGCTACACAGTAGAACCCCCATATCTGTTCGATAGCGAATGCTTACAGTAGAACCCCCATATCTGTGGGGGATCTGTTCGATAGTGAATGCTTGAAACTGTAGATAGTAGCAAACCCTATATACAACATACAAGGAGATAGGACAAAGGCCACAAGGCCTGCCTCCTTGTATGTTGTATATAGGGCTTCAGTAAACAGGCAGGTAACTGAAACTATGGATGCAAGGCCTGCCTCCTTGTATGTTGTATATAGAGCTTCAATAAACAGCAGGTAACTGAAACTATGGATGTCAGTCCTGCAGATACAGGGGTTCTGTTGTACTCCTGCAGGTGCTTTGACAGCCAGAGCTAAGCATTATTCGCTCAGCCTGTAAATTGTACACCAGAGATTATTGTGTCTTTTTTATGGTATAAAAGGTTCTACAACTTCCATTTTTGATTTTGCCTTAACACGTCTAGTTGATGCAGGTCAGTGGTTATTCCCTTTGCAAACTAGAAATTAGTTTGAAAAAGAATGGCTAAGAACATCTGATGAGTAGCAAGGATACTCTATTATTTAAACTGAACTTGCAGTTGAATTCCTAGGTTCCTATACCTTCACAGAAAAACTCATGCAATGACTCTAGTCTGCAGGCTGGGTAGGCTGCAGTTGTTACAGCTTTTGTTCATTGTATGGGGGCATGCTGGCATGTCCTGAATTTTTATTTAATATTGAAAAACAATTCCTTAAAAATTGTAGCAATTTGGATTATGGAACTGTATATGCCTTACTTGGAAAATAATCTGAGAGTTTGCTAATTTTAAGGAGGTGGGCATGAGCAGGTGTGTTATATGCTACTATACGCCAATACCCCAAATTAGCGTATTATCCTATTTGCATACCACTAGTTCTGTTTCACTTTTCTCTTCAATATGCTTATAGGTTGCTTTTTATACTGTTTGACTGTCTGGACACATCAACAGATGGAAATTACTGCACCAAGCCTGAAATTTCCAATTATGTGAATTAGCATTTGGAATATACCTCTGTTTAAGAGCAAATCAGCCATTGCTCCCTATAGCCGGAACTTCTGGACTACATTTGCAATAGATGTCAAGAGATGCCCACATCCATTAAGCCATAATCCCATATAGATGATAGGTATACATATTACAGGGATATTATTACAGTATATTATTACAATCATTGTTGGGTTTTCTTTTCAGGAAGAAGACAAGCCAATTTTATATGTATACAATGCTGTTACTCATGAAAAAATGCCCATATTGGGAAGAATATATCTTCTTGCATCAAAGGTTTCTCAACTGAAAACTCTGGTAACCTTGAAGAGTGGCTTCCCAAACAGTATTTATTGTCTCAGGACTCCAGAAGGCAGGGAAATGTATGACTGCAACACCTTGAGCGATTATCAGTTAGATATAGGTATAAGACTGTTTGTGTATTTTTATCTGCTTCTACGTGACAACTTACATTCCCAGTCTTGTTTTGAGCTATCTGAATTAAAGCCTGAAACCCTATCAGGAAGTAAATCCGATAAAGTACGATGGGAATTACTTCTGGGTAGACCTGTCTGAAACCCTATCAGGAAGTAAATCCGATATACAGTAATACAATGGGAATTACTTCTGGGTAGACCTGCATAAGACTCCACTGTAAGAAAATGTTAGATCTTTAATTCAGGAAAACATCCCAAAACATAAAAAATGCCTTCTCACTCAATTGTCCCACACTCCATTCCTGATGTCTGTATGTGATTGGATATTTCAAAATGCAGCTGCTAAAAAAGTGTTGGTTTACTTCTGTGAAGGATTTATCTAATAATATAATTCAGCTGTTGTTCAGAGATGCTGCTGATATGATTTGCATTACAAAACATAAATTACAAAATCATTTGTAGACATTTTAAAATTCAAATTGCTGCTGAAATCCCTCCTACCCACAAGGATTCAAAAGCTAACATATTTGGCACATATTACATTTTTCATGTCTGCATTTCAGAGGACTGTAAAATAAATGAAGTCATGACTTGTGCCAATTTCCTTCTCCAAAGAGCTGTAAAGTGTGTGGTTTTAACTTGTTTTCTGAAAACTGCATGGTTCAGAAATGACAGAGTGTCAAAAAGTTACTTTTTGGATGACAGCTCCCAGAATTCTCACAAGATTCTGAAGGACTCTTGGAATAGCAGTCCAAGCAAGTAACTTTTCCAAGTTCTTGAAATGCATGTATGGCATATTGAAGCAATTCTTAATGGAATCAAATAACTGGATTTCTCAATTGGCAGGCACAACCCTTCATTTGGATGTCTGGGACGGATGGAAAGAATTCCTGACTGGATGTCTCTTGGGAAACATACCCAAAGTCCAACACTATCTGTCAAAGGAAGAACCAGTACTTAGGTATTGTGACAAAAACAGGATTTTAAACACAATTTTCTTTCTTTCTTTTTTAAATCAGCTGTCTGATTTGACACTTTAGCAAGCTTCTCACTGGAATAAGACATTCCTTAAGTGCTAAAGGTCATCTGATTGTTAACCACAAGCATTTTGCAAATTCAGCCTGTTTTGTTAGTGCTTGGTCAACGGGAGTTAAGCACTGCCTTAATTTGTGTCCTGACTGCTCAGACACAGGTTTGAGAGGGGATGGCTATGTTTTAAAACACTTTTATTCTAATGGCAATCTAACTATAGCATCTCATTGGACCATCGTAATAATATCTGTTCCAAATGGGGTCCCTAGTGCTCACAGAAGGAAATTTGCCATTTGAACAATGATTATATAACAGCCCTCTAGTATAACTCAGTGAGTTAGAACACCTACATGTAGATGCAAGAGTCTGAATGTCTACTGTGTCATCCAGGAGTGGGGCTGGACAAAATCACCAAGACTGGGTGTGACTGCTGGGGTTGTGTGATCAACTAGTTGTGTGGTCTTTGGACAAGCTGCCTAGTCCCAGAGCACTACAGAAGGAGGGACAGATAAATAGGTATGTGCAGGGGGAAAACTTTAGGATTTATTCTTTTTATGGTTCTTCCAGATGGCCACTCTTATGTTAAGGGCAACATGCTAGGGATGAAATACACAGATTAATCATGCAGAGTGGGCAAATGTTTCAGAAATGGAACATTTCTGTTTCATTTCCAACAATTACACCCATGGCTTCAACAGAAAGGGGGCACCCAGAAAAGGGTCCCCACAAATGTTACTCTTTCCCATCTGTGTGGGAAGTCTGTTATTGAAATCCATCTTACCATTATTCATCAATATAGATTGGATAGTGAAGGTTTTTCATTTTTTGGGTGTCCATATTGAGGATAATATGACTTGGAGCGTAAATACCTCAGAGGTATTGAAAAAAGCTCAACTGAGATTGTACTTTCTAAAGATGCTTAGGAAGAATAACATTACTCAGAGACTGTTGGTGTCCTTTTATCAATGCTCAATAGAAAGTGTATTGTCATACTGTATGTGCACGTGGTATGCAGGTTGTACAGTGGCCCAGAGAAAATCGCTCCAGAAGGTGATTAATGCAGCACAGAAGATTGTTGGGTGTCCCCTCCCCACTCTGTAGGAACTGTACAGGTCCCACTGTCTTAAAAAAGCACAAAATATTATAAAGAACAACTCCCACCCTGAACCCTCTTTGCTTGAACTACTGCCATCAGGAAGACGATATAGACCTATTAAAACAAGGACAAATAGATTTAAAAAGTTTTTATCCAAGGGTGGCGATCTTGCTAAATTCAGTTAAGATTTAATTTGACTTTATTGTAGGGTTGCATGTGAATGAATTTTGTTGCCTTTGTATTTGTTGGAATTTTGTACAGTGCTGCCCCCATGATGATGATAATCCGTTCCATTGAAATCGCGGTTTAGCGAAATCATCGTCATGCGAAAACCATTTCCCCATTGGAATGCATTGAAACCCGTTTAATGTGTCATTTTGTGAAGATCGCCCATAAGATAACCATTTTGCAAAGCGCCAATCAGCTGTAAAATGGTTGCCCTGCGAAGCATGGGGCCAGAAAACACAGGGCAGCCATTTTGTGAAGCCGCCGATCAGCTGTAGAAATTGTCGTCTTGCGAATAAATGGTCCGCAAAGCACGGACCAAATCCTTGTCAAGCGAAAATCGCCCATTGCAATGACTGTTTTGCGAAACGCTATAGCGATCGCAAAAAGTCATCGTTACGCGGATTCGTTGTTTAGCGGGCTTGTTGTCTAGCGAGGTACCACTGTACTGATTTAAAAGGCGTTTTAGCTGAATGAGTGATGCACTGTCTGGATAGCACTCTGGTGATTTTGTTGCATATGCAATGGCAACAAAGTGTTATTCTCTTCTCTTCTAGAGCTGTACCACAGATATATATGAGTGATTTCGCAAATAACTTTGTTTTCTTTTAATAGATGCTTTGTTCTGTGCATGGTTTGTTTCAGATATCAAAAGAGAGTAGCACTTTACATGGCAGCCTTTTTTGGACACATTCGGCTTTCAGCATGGCTCCTGAAACATGGTACAAAGCCCAATGAAGCAGTTGGAGTACATCCATACCGGGAGTGGTGTCATGAAAACAATCATGCAGATGTCTCAAAATGTCCTGTACATGCTGCTGCAGAAGCAGGCCAACTCATGATACTGAAAGCTTTCATTAATTACAGTGTATTATGCCTTGAATGCCAAAACTCTACAGGACAAACTCCACTGAAATTGTGTATCCAACACAGATGTAAGGATTGCGTGGTATATTTGGTGACCAAGATATGGTCTGTGGTTTCTTATCCTGATTTCTCAATTCCCATGAAAATCTATATTAAGTTAAAATTGTGGCTTCTTAAGGCACAAAATAAGATTCATATGAGAAAACGGTGCAATCAGACTGCGGACTTCAGGACACGAGTTGGGGACATCGTCCTTGTAGATGGTTTCACAAAACCAAAAATGACTTCCAGAGATTTTCATTCAGCCAGAGTTAAGGATACAGACAGCAAGAGGTGCAAACTGCCAAACATAACTCTGTTGGAGCATAAGCACAGTGCACGTGGTTTGAAAGCTTCAAAAGAGTACCTCAACAGGGCAAATGTCAAATTACCTCCAATAACAGAAGCAAACAAGAAAGTTAACATTGAGAGACATCAACAAAACAAGAATACCAGAAGAAAGGATGTGCATTTTAGTGCTGAAGAGTGTATGGACCAAAATATGTGTTTAGCAAGAGTTCCCCTGCCTCCCAATTCTGTTCTCAAACCAGCTTATTATTACTCCATTCCCAATGTAATGTTTCTGCTGAATCCTTCTCTAGAGTCTTTTTCACAACACAGTGGAAGAACACCAAGGGAGAATGCAATCTATTGCTTAGCCATAGCCAGGTATGTTTTGCTTCATTTTGTAAACCACTAATCAGAGCTGCATCTTTTTTTCAATCTGATTCCTTTAAAAGCTTGGGGCAGGGGGGTAGAAAAGTAGCACTAGGCTTTTACTGAGATTAACACATTGGCTGAAATATGGCATGTAAGGCAGATGATATCATCAGCCACAGCAGTTTTTTTTTAAGTTTTAAAGTGTCTGATTTCCTTGTCCAAAAGGTCCCAAGGCCACCCTGAAATCTCTTTTGCCATAGAGAAGCCATTGAGGATTATAGGAGTCCTTAGTTTCGAAAAATTTCCACCAACAGTCATATCATCCTGCCACCAGTGATTGCTGGAAATTAAAGACTTTTTCCTCAATCCCACAGCATTGAGGATGGGGAGAGTTGGAAATTTTTAGTTTCTGAAAAACTGTTTCAGCTGATGATGTTGTCAGCCATATGTAGCATAAGTTACACTACTGGATTTTAGCCATTAACTTAGAAGTCAGAATAAGATATTAACTGATGTTGAGAAAGCACAGGGCAAAATGTTGTGACACCTTAAAGACAAAAAGATTTTTTCACTGTGATATTTTAAAGATCAAAATCTGCTTCTTCAGACACATGAAATGCTCATACTGTGCCATAACAACTTCTGAAATCTTGTCCACCATGGATGTAGAGGTGCTTTATAAAAGTGGTCTACAAGCTACCAAAAATACAGTTCCAAATGAAGCCATGGCAGCTCACACAGAACTCTCTCTTTTGGATTGATAGCACTGCTGTGGGCACATATATGGCTTCTTGTCCACCATGGATGTAGAGGTGCTTTATAAAAGTGGTCTACAAGCTACCAAAAATACAGTTCCAAATGAAGCCATGGCAGCTCACACAAATTGATAGCACCGCTGTGGGCACATATATGGCTCTGCAGTATTTATTTATTTTATTTATTCTAGGCGGCTTCCAATATAGTAAAAACAGTGAAATAATACAAAAAACACAAACAATTACATAAATCATATTGTAATAAACAGAATACAGCAATAGAATAGAAAATACATAAGGAGAGAATAAACAGAAAAGTCAGATATTAACTGGAGGGAAGGCCTGAATGTATAGCCATGTTTTTAACTGACTTTTAAAAGTGTCCAAAGTGGGGGCCGCACGGATCTCAGGAGGGAGATTGTTCCAGAGACGAGGAGCCATCGCCGAGAAGGCCCGATTTCGTGTCCTTTCTTTCTGGGCCTCCCTTGTCGTTAGGCTCCTCAGCCTCACCTCCTGGCTCGTGCGGGTGATCCAAGTAGATCTACTGTAGGTGGAAGCAGGCGTTCTGTCAAGTATCGAGGTCCTAAACCGTTTAGGGCCTTATATGTAAGCATTAACACTTTGAAGTCAATGCGGAAACGGATGGGCAGCCAGTGCAGCATGGCCAGAGTAGGAGAGATATGTTGGTATCTTCTCACTCCACTGAGTAATCTGGCCGCCGCATTCTGCACCACCTGTAGTTTCCGCA